GTCCTCCTTATTCATGTGTACAATGGTTCCAGTATATTTACCTCATCCAAGGAAAATAGAGGATAGTATCTTAATCACACCCTCTATTATGGTAAAATCGAAGATGCCCCCAAAGAAACAAATGGTATGACTTGGTTCACACCCTCTACTAAAGTCAAGTCTTAATCCCACCTTAATCTTGTCTCTGGTGCAGTATTGGTTACAAATTGGGCTATAGTCTTCAAGGCCAGAAGTTCAAAACCACCAGCCATTCCTCAGGAGAAAGATGAGGCTTTCTACTCCTGTAAATGGCTAACAGTCTTGGAAACTCATAGGGGCAGTTCTCTCTGTTCTGTAGGTTTACTATGATTCAGCATCAGCTCAATGGCAGTGGTTTTGCTTTTGTCTTGGTTTAACCCAGCTCATTAGTATAGCGGAGAGTGTCCCTCTAAAATGGGACTATACCCACAGGCATATAGTCCAGAGTTATAATTTTGGGCTGATCACATAAGGAATTAAGGCTAGAAGAGCCGTATTAATTATAGTTCATGAAATTGGACAGGGGGGTTATGGATAATATGCTCACTTACATGGAGATCCTTAGCCATTTTTAGTGCTGGAGACCCTGAACCATTTCTCGTAACAATATTCATTTTATTTGCTAGCCAGCTGACATATTCCAGGCACCAGCGATATAGTGGCTTACAAAAAGCAGTTTTGTCCCCATGTAGTGCACAGTATAATGAAGGATATAGGTCTTGCTTCATTAAGCAATCATGTAAATAATCAATTATGGACTATTATAAAGAGATATAAATGAAAATACTGTGAACCATCACATTCTGGTCTTGGAAATCAGAATCTTTCCTTAGGAAAATAATGCATGTTGTAATAATGTAAGACGAGAGCTGAGGGGTGAATGAGGTGAAGTTTATTTGTGTAAGCCCTATGATATTGGCTTGTTCCTGACATTGGAGCCCTAAAAACCTCACCTAAGAGACAGGCCCCTGGTTCTTTCTAAGATTTCTCATCCTCCTCTTTTGACATGTATGTTTTGTGACATGCTGGACTATCCAGGAGACTTCTCATTTCATGTCTACTACATCTGATTTATATGTTGTTATTCATAAGTTGGGGCACTGCCATGCATTGCAGAATGTCAAGAAGATCAAAACCCTTTCAGTCTATATTGTGACAGAGTAGGAGAATTAACATAGCCCTAAGTCCCTGGGTGATTCAAATGGTTAACATGCTTAGCTAATAACAAAAATATTGGCAATTTGAGGTCCTTAGGAAGGAAGTGTTGTTGGTCTGCTTCTGAAAGATCAGCCATTGAAGAAGCCATAGAGTACACAGTTCTAATCTAACAACCTGGGGTCAGCGTGAGTCAAAATCAACTCAAACAACTCATTTTAAGACAAAGGATGTGTGCAGCTGCTATCCCCTAAAATAGGAAAATTGCTTTTTATTCTTCTAATTGATAGGTATTGAAAAGAAAGCATTTTTCAGATTATTGACACTGTTTGTGGTCCAAAAAGGAAAGTTGTAATGTAACATTTTTTTTTTTTTTTTACATCTGTCCATGGCTTCTAGAGGAGTGTTGCCATGAAGCTTTTTAAAGGTACTACTGCCCAACTGGGCTCTGTGGCGCAATGGAAAGCACATTGGACTTCTCAGTAAGATACTACTGCCCTTCTCCTTCTGTGTACTTATTACATTTATGAGTGCAGTGTCCTTTGGACCTTTCAAGGAAACATAGGATTATGGTGGATTTTATCATTTATATTAGAAACCCATTCTAACACTTCCATCTCCCTGAGCTTTTGGACCACAGTAATAAACTGCCAATAAAGTCCCACCATTTCCACCTCACTTACTGTGGGTCACTGATGTGCTTGGACTTTGAAGAGCATCTCAGCAGCATCTTAGGGCTGATTTCATTAGTCCTTACTAGGAAAATTACTAGGACGATGTGGGAGAGTTGTTTTCTATCAGTAAACACTTTCTTATTTAGGCTTTTATTTGCTTATTGGTTCAATACTTGTAAAGTGCACATTCACACATGTTCAGCCAGTACATATTAGTTAAATTCTGCAATTGTAATGATAAGCAAGTTTTCTTTTCCTGGACAGGGACTCTATCTTCCCACATGTCCTTTTCTGATACGTGATCCTAGATTGAGTGGTCTGATGGTAATGAGCAGAGGTAGAGAAGGCGCTTGAGAAGAAAGGGCATCATCTTTGGAGACATCCATTCCAGCTGTTACCTTCATTTGGTCCTGAGTAAATGGAGGCTGCGCTCCTCAAGCAAGAAAAAGGCCTTTGCCGGCTAAAAGGGCTCAGTGGAATTTAGGAATTCAGTGTTTCCAGGAAAATCTTGTTAAGCCCCTATTTCATATCCCATGGCTCATCTTCACTCTTTGAAAGCCCTTATTTTATCGTAGTGGTCTTGCCAAGATGGTACGTTTGGTCTCCTTTAAAATTATTCTACCTTGATGCTTTGAATCCTGGCACTGATTTCAGGGTAGTCCTCTCTGATGATTAGAGAGAAGGTGAAGTCTCATTAAATGCTATCTTAAAGGCCCTCCTGTCTTTGACAATATATCCTGAGTTGACCAGTATCCTGTCAGAGATCTGAAATACTTCTTCTTTTTTTCATTGTTCTATCTTATTAATAAAGATTATTTTATAGGAAATATTGTCAGATGCTGTTGAATTGGTCTTGACTCATAGTGACAATCAGGACCCTATCTATATGTAACAGAATGAAATAATACCAGGTCCTGAACCATCGCACAATCATTGCTATGTTGGAGCCAGTTGTGCAGCCTGTCCAATCCATCTTGTTGTGGCTGTCTTTCCCACCCACTCTTTATTTCACCAAGCTTTTCCAGGAACTATATCTTCTGATAACATATAGAAAGTACATATGATGATTGCAGATTCCATGGCCAGGATCCAGCTTACCATAGACCTCCAAGCGACATCTCTCTCTCTCTCTCATTTAAAATGTTTCCATTTTAAACACGCTGAGGTATTTTGCAATAGATCAATCCCATTTTAACATGTCATTTAATTTCTTGACTGCTGCTTCCATGGTGTTGATTGTGGATCCAAATAAAATGAAATCTTTGAAAACTTCTGTCAGGGTTACCAACCCCTAACACATCATCATGGGTCTGGTAGGCACAATTGAACAGCAATAATAAGTAAACATTACAGTAAAGTCATAGAGAGCATGAGAGATAGAGATTGAAATAATTGAGTCAGACACATTTCATGGTAGCATGCTAACCTCAACCTCACTTGGTGGTCCATGTGGAGAGAGAGAGATTTATTGCTAACAAAGGCTTTTATATTCTATGGGGACATGCAAGCCTCCTAATTACAGGTGAAGACATATGTCATAGGAAAGGGTTATGCTATAGGTAATACAGTAATGGGAGGGGGTGATCTAGGGGTATTCACGTAATAGGAAGGGGAGGTAATGGGGGTACACATGTGACAAGATGGGCAGATCCTAAATTCAGGGAGGCAGCCTAACTTTGGATGTTTGACCTGTTCTCTGGCTCACTATAGAAACCATTATCAGTAGCATGTAAACCCATCCTACAGGGACCAGACTAATGGCCGTAAGCCTTTAGGGAGAAGTAGGCCAGCAGGGATGGGACCAGACCATAGTCTGGTGGGCCCTACCTGTGGTGGGACCAGACCATAGTCTGGCAGCTGACTTCCTTCAGGGAGGTAACTTGACAATCATTTACCATTAGCTGCAAGCAGTGTCCTAAGTCTAACATATATTTGGGGGAGACGACTTGGGAGAAGTCTTTCTGTTTCTAAAAAACTTCAATATTTTTTCCATTTATATGCTTATCAGTCCAGTTGTGATTTTTTTCTTTATCCTGAAGAGGATCCCTGGTGGTTCAAACTCACGAGCCATTCTTTGAGGCTGTTTTCCCCCAGAAAGATTATAATCTTGGCAACCATATGGAGCAGTCATGTGCTGTCTACTAGGGTCCTGCTGAGTGAAGAGCTACGTGATGGCAGTGTGTTTTATCTTGAGGTGTAATCCATACTGAAGGCTGTAGACTTTCATCTTCTTCAGTAACTGTTTCAATTCCTGTTCACTTTCAGTAAACAAAGTTGTCTTGTCTACATATGTTAAGTTCTTAACAAATCTAATTCTGATTGAAGATGAGTCTCTTTAATTAGGCCACAGAAGCCTCTGGCTTTCAAAATGTGTCCATGAGTTAATTAATATTGGCTGACCAGTGCCTGTCATTCCCTTTCCTCACGTTCCTAAGACACTAAGTAAAACCAAGCAACTCTACAAATCCATGTAATTTTGTCCAGCCCTGCATTACCCCATAACCTACCGCCTCCCTTTCCTCTTGTAGTTTATTCCAATCTACCATAAGCAAGATTTTTAGTATTTGCGTTTCTCCATAGTTCAAACTCAACAATTGTTCTGTGGGAGAAAGATGAGGCTTTCTGCTCCCAGAAAGTTTTATCGCCCCAGAAACACACACCTGGCCTGTTCTACCTTGTCCTATGGAGTCACCATGAGTCGAGATCAAGTCAATGGCTGTGTGTTTAGTTTTGGCTTGGTTATGAGTCAGAATTGGCTAGATGGCAGTGGGTAGGGTTGTAGCGTATCAGAGATTGTCATCACCTTCCTTTCCTTTCACAAGGAGCCCTGGTGGCACAGGGGCTCAGTTGCTAACTGAAAGGTCAGTGGTTTGAATCCAGCGGCTACTCCATTGGAGAACTTGGTGGCAATCTGGAAACAATTCTACTCTGTTGTGTAGGAACTCTGGGTAAGAATCCTCTCATCAACAGTGGGTTTGGTTTTGGTTTGGGTTGTTGCTTTATTGATAAGTTCTTCCCAATTCAATAGTCCCTCAAGCTAACCTTATTTTAAAATACCCTTTAGATATAATGGAGGACTGCTAGAATTTTATAAAAGTTTACATGAAATTGAAGATCCAAGTGATTATTGGTTTGACATAGATCCAACAGAAGACGACAATTTACCTACAACTTTTAAGGTAAGAAATAAAGAATAACATATTTTAATGCATTTTCATCTGCGATTAATTAAAATCATCTTTCATAATGTTGATATTTATACTAACTCATGTTCTATAGCAAGCAAATTCTTATTGGAAACAAGTCTTTTATATAAGAAACAACCTTTGATTGTATTATATATGTAGTGAAGCAACAGATGATTTGTTCAGAATACTTGGAAAATGTAAAAATGCCCCAGGATGAAAGCAAATTGACCCATATTTCTTTTCATGGAGGCACCACTGTTACTTTCATTCCTATCTTCTGACATTCCATTATCCCTCTAAGAACTTCTCTACCTTAGACTAGATGAGTTTGTTGCACCTACAGTTAAACAGCATTTTAAAATAGGAAAACGTCTTCCAACAGTGGACACTAGAAGCATATTTCTGAAACCTCTTTCCCCCCCAGAATGTCAGTGTGTAGCATATTCCACCACAGTACTTGTGCTACCAGTAAGTATCCTGGGGGAACTTAGTACCCCCGATTTTCCTAAATCCCAGTCATTCGTTCAGAGCAAGTAGTTCTTGAGAGGAGTCCCTTATTATGCGTTAGTATGTGGAAGAGAGGTACAGTTCTGAATAAAGCTGTATTTAGTTTCTCCACAATTATGTCCAGTAGGAAATTTGGTATTTCTAATTTAGGGCCTACCTGTACATTGTTAGGACTCCTGCTGGCATATGGGTTAAATGCTGGACTGCTAGCCTCAATCTTAGTAGTTCTCAGTGCCCAGTGACTCCAAGGGATGAAGAGGAGGCTTTCTATCCCCGTGAGGAGTTACAGTCTTGGAAGCCCACCAGGGCAGTTATACCCTGTCCTACAGAGTCACTGTGAGTTTGAGTTGACCCCACAGCGGCGAGTGAGACTCTTATGCATTATTTACTTTGAATGAAGAAATATGGTTCTGTTAGAACAACAACA